GCGTGACAGTTCTTCGTTTGAATTAGCCATCGTTTTGTACAACAGAGATTATATTTACAGGTATAAAAATGACTTTTACAAAGTTTAACGAACAACCGTGGTGTTTAGACCCGCAAGATGCAATTGACAATGTTCTTGGGTTCGATAACGACTCCACGGTCAACGGGATAACTCTTTACTAAGCGTAGAATACTTTTGAGCACAAAATACTATTGCTGGGACGCTCGCTATAAAACTGCTCGATGCGTGACTTTCCAAGGCGATCGCACGAATCACAGACTGATGAAAATTTTCCACTCTCTACAATTGCGTTCGTTTGTTTTATACTCGTTAGAAGCACCAAGAAAGTTCCATACGCCGTTGCTAGGCAGTTTCTGCCTGGAGCTTGATTATTAATACAACGTGTGCCCGTTATATTGGCACCTCCACCATGAGGTAAAATCACACGTGGCTAGGTCCGTTCTTGAGGCTGTATGCCGCCACAACCACGTTTCCAGGGAGAACCATACAACCACTCCACACCTTCGTCAGACAAAAGGTCCATCCCGTGACCGTGGCTACGTTCGGCGACCAGTTGTGTCGCCTCGAGCCCAATCTCACTATCACAAATCTCGAACAATTACAATCAGATTGAATGACAACGATTGCTTAATTACGGCTATGATGGAATCTAGGCTAAAGTATTAGAGGATTTTGCCAAAATTTCAAAGGAAAGGCTCCGGTTTACTTTCATCTCCGACATATCTATACTATACTATTGAGATATGTATAATTTTATGTGGTAGACTGGATTGACCGAGTACTAGTGATACATATATGTGAATAGGAGTGTGTGGAAGTATGTGTGTGTGAAAACAAATGAATGAACACTGTTCAGTTAACAGTCTGGTATGAAAGAAGGTGGGACTCGTACAAGTGTGTATCGATGAATACTTTGAAATCGTTGATCAAATAAATATACAACTATTCTAATGTAGTATCGGGGTGAAGGGCCTAAGAACCGTCGAGCCAACTATAGACAATGCCGCGAGAGCCGAGGCGCTGTCGACTCCATCAATGCGTTATCGAGTCCTTCACATAAATAGCTTCGCCGAAAAGACCTACGTGACCCTGGCTACGAGCGTCCGCGGAACACGTGTGCGGTGGGCCTAGCAAAAGACAAAAGAATGCTACAACGGCCAGAAAGTCAGTTGAGAAGCAGAGTGTGAGTTGAGCGGACACGGAGTGTGAATCGACGTGCGATGATATTATAATCGGTCCTTTTGTTCTTGCTTATTTAAACTACACTAAACTCTATTTATATTCCTTTTGTTATTGAATATCACTTATTAAAATACATTAAACTTTGAACCTACCATCATTACTTGTCCTTACTCTAAGAATCCATCAGTTACAACACTAATATAAATTCTAAGTGTAAATCTAGCGTTCCTATACCATTATTTCGGCAATTAAGATCCAAAATTCTCGACATCTACAAAGAGATTCATTGTGATTAAGAGGAACGTTTACAGAATTTGTTGAAACAAATCTTCTATCTGTTCGATGCGGTATAATTCGTACGATAAATCGTATTGTCAAAACTGCTGTCAAACTGAGAAGAGAATCGCAGCTCGCGTAAGCTATTGTACCTGTAAGACAGTGATATTAACGAATCTTGGAAAAGCTTTCGAAAAAATCCGGTAAAGCACGTCCAGCCCTGTTTGTTTCTAGGACCATTCATAGTATCGATATCGACGTTGTATCGCTCCAGCTGCCAGTTTCTCTATTCGTCATTCTTGTGAAAAGAGTAACGCTCGAATTGCGTTGTTCACGATACATTGACACGTTCTATTTGACGATCGTGTTTTCTACGTGACTTTAATCTCGTGGAGAATTTGACATCCGTGCAGTTCTTTCTTTTTTCTCTTTTTTCTTTTTTTTTTTTGTTTCATTCCAGTTTAATCTCGTAATGTACGTAGATCTGACTTGTTAACTAGACTACGAATTTTTGTCAATTATTACCACACGCGCAATATACGAAAACATATGAAATATCCGAAATTTAGTATTCGTTATTAGTATCTTCAGTGAGTTGAAGGATTCTACGCACGCACGTCAACGGCGTACCGTATGCGTCGTGAAACGCGCAGTAGAATATGCTGAGATCGCGCCGTATGCGCGACCAGATGTACGGTAGAATATGTTCATAATGCACGCTCTTCTCACGCGCGTTTCAAATGTGCCGCAATTCAAAATAAACTCAGTTCTGTGTCAGAGGAGCGTTTTATTCAACCATTGTGTCTGGCATCTATTCATTTTGCCAATATGAGTCTCGGTAAATAGCTCAACCCGCAAATTATTTTTCGCTTCTCCTGAGATTTGAAACGTGCGTCGCTTTTAACATACGTATGCGACTTATATTCTAATAAAATACGACAACTAGCCTCTTTATTAAATTTTTATCAATTCGAAGTAGGAAAAATGAAAAATTCCAAAGACCTATAGTCGTAGCAGTGTAAAATCGATATTCCTGTTATTTCTACTGCGATTCTTGTTATTTGTCTCTCCAACTGATTCGCTCGAAATTATCAAATATGTGTCATCGAATCGCGAAAAGTTCAAAGACAAAGTTGTACATCTTTTCTCGAGGGATGTGTTTAACAGACCGCGACGAGTTTCCGGTGGCCCGGCGACGATAAATCGCTTTTCCCGAGACTAGTAGATCGCAATTACAATTATCGGCTCTTTGTCCGCGTGCATTTTTCCGCCAGGCTCGATATCTCGCGAGTGGCCCGCTTTGTTCCGTCCTCGAAGGAAATTACCCATCCGTTGTTGATTCGATTGTGCCAGAGTACTCGGGGTTAACGGAGTAGAGAACTAAATGTCTTCGGCAATGGGTGCACCCTTCGCCCTTTCACCCTCCTCTTCTCGTAGGCCCTTCAGTCCTTCGGTCGCTACAGGAACTCGGTCGTTCGACCCGAAAGGATCCATCGCTCTGTATTTTCCTCTCTTTTTGCCGTATTTTTTCTACGCTCGACGAATCGATAGCTCGGCTATCCGATTGTTTACGTCCGATTGTTTACGTCCGATGCCTTCCTCGATGACAATCTCGTTGTTTCGCGAATTAAGAGTGGCCCGGTTTATCGTTTCTCGTTCGAGATTATCCTCTTTAATCGAAAATAGGTGAAGGCGTGCTTTTTTCTTCCGGCTTTAAGCTTTAATGGAATTGTGAAATAGGATACAGTGCAGCGGACGCAGCGAGAACCACGATGCAATTGGAAAGAAGTGGTTTCGCGCGTACAAAGGTGAATCGAAGTGGAGAGATAAATTCTTCTTTACGCGATACTTCGTCTCACGACGTGTTTGACGCATGTGTGTTCGACGAATCTTCCAATCGGTGAGTTACGAGGGCAAATGCTTCGGTATCGGAGATCAAGCGAATCGCTTTTTTTCATTTACTTAGCCACGTTAATCGTCGTCTCTGTTCCTTCGTTCTTCGTGCTTTTCCTTTTCCAGCGTTATTTATGTTATGGCACGATGCAGCATCTCGGCAGATAACGAGCAAAACGAATAACAAAGCAACGAACGAAAAGCATCGTTACGATAAACGTGGAAAAACTTTTCCACCGATTTATTAATGTACTTCTTCGATAGATGTTTCAAAAATAATTACCAAAAATAATATCTCATAAAATGTTCCAAATTTTTCTCTTTTCTCTCGACTTTCTTTTTCATGAAACGCACAGCGATTTTTTACCTCACAGCCAAGCAAAAATTAAAATCATGATTTTCCGTTAATTTCGCTGATTTATACCGCCTGAATTACTTTTGATCGTTTAATGATAATGAAATCTTCGCATACGTAAAATTATTAACGTATACATTTTCTGTTTACACGAAATCTGCATATATGGAGAAGAGCTTGCATATTTATTCACTTTTTCCGTTATACGTTTCATAAAACTTGACCAGTCTATTCAAGAAAAGGTAGCAAGATTGTAAAGGGCAAAGCAGAATTCCCCTGGGAACACCGTTCATAAATCTAGATGGTGAAGCTTGTCTCGATAAGAAAAACGCAATTTGCAAGTAAAAGTGCACGGGTTCGTCAAACAGGTATCTCGAGACGAACGTTTCCTGCAGATGTTTAGAAAATTTTTGCTAAAAACAACGCGTAGGCTTCTGTGTAGCTCTCGGAGAGTTTTGAACGACTTTTCAACCATTTGCGTTTTAACTATTTCCATGCAAAATCATTTGCAATTTTTCCTAAAAGTTACAAAGTAATATGTTCCATAAAGAAACGTAATACTTAAACGAAATGAAATTACGTCGCTTTGGCCATTTTTACGTATTCCTGCTGTTTATTCGACCATTCGCGGAGAGACCCGATCGCGAGAAAGCACGTCAACGGGACACGTAAATTCCCGTTACGATTAAATAATCGACGCCACGAACTGATCGATCCCCTTATTTCTGTTACAATAATAGAGGTGGTTCGATTGAGTCGATGCGTATGTATAAGTTAAGTAAGTGATTGATTTAAGGGTAGAAACCCGGTAATGACATGTTGACTATTCTAACGATGAGGAATAAGTAAAGTTTCTTTTTTTTATTTAATTCTTTACATTCACGATTTGTCCAGTTCGGACATTTGGTAGAATTTTTTAGCTGTTTGATTATCATGTGAGTGGCTACTCCCAGTAGGATACCATCTTTGTGTTTGTTAGGTCGTGTCCTTTGCGAGATCTGTTGGGTGCTTCCTTTTCAGTCTTCTATCCATGTCTGAGGTGTTGATCGTTTCCACAGCTAGCCGGTTTGGCTGTGTTCCTATTCTTTCTTTATATTTTCCTGCGTGTCTGCTAATTTTCTCTTTGACTGTTGGTATACCCAGGTCCTTCTATATATCCTCGTTTCTAACGTACCATGAGGCGTTTACTATTGTTCTACGAATTTTAGCTTGTATATGGCTTTTTGCTGCTGCCCCCCATAGCGTTATTCCGTACGTCCAGATTGGTTTCATGATCGTTTTGCATATTTTTAATTTATTTTCTATGCTTAATTTGGATTTTCCACTTGCTAGCCAATGCATTTGTCTCCCTGTCGTCTGTATTTTGTCTATTATTGATTTAGTACGTCGTTTCTATGTGAGTTGTGTTTCTAGGTGGAGTCCTAGGTATTTGATTTGCCTTGTTCGCGGTATGTGCGTGCCGTTCAGTACGATGTTTGGTGGTGTCTGTTTTCGCAGTGCGAATGTAATATGGTTGCATTTATCGGGGTTTGCTTTTATTTGTTTATCTTGCAGCCACTTTTTTGCGCTAGTATGGACTCTTCACTAAGGCTGTCACCTAACAGACCTATACCTTACACACAATGAGAGAAGAGAGAAAGTGAGTGTTTCGTCCAAGATCTGCTACTTTTCTATTTTTGTGATATGTTCTCGTAGTAATTTGACTGCTGTTTCTGGGTTAGTGTTCCTGACTAGTACAGCTGTGTCGTCCGCGAATCTCAGTATTTTGCTATTGGTAGTTGTTGGTATGTTGGCCGTGTATAGTGTGTATAGTATCGGTCCTAAGACGCTTCCTTGCAGAACCCCTGCCTCGATGTCTTTGACTTCAGAGGATGTGTCCTTGATTTTTATTACGAAGGTTCTGCCGCTTAAGTAAGATTTTATTAATCGGTATATTTGCTCCGGGAACTGTTTCCTGATTGTTTATAGTAGGCTTTCGTGGTTTATTTTGTCAAATGTTTTCTCTATGTCCATAAAGAGGGCTGTACAGTATCGTTTGTTTTCTAATGCTAGTATTGTTTCGTTAATGAGCCTGTGCATTTGCTCTACAGTGGAGTGTTTGTTTCTGAATCCAAATTGCTGATCTGGTATTAATTTGGATAAGTGAAGTAAAGTGACGATACTGTGTCGGAGGAAAGCTAGCGATGGGTGTGTCTAACGCGAGGGACCATCGGATTCGTTGATGACAATTTTGGTTAGGAAAGCGAGGGTAGTAGGCGTTGCTTCTGATTGAATAAAAGGTTGATGGACTAGGAAGGGTCTTAGCCGCCCTCGATAGAAAGATGCTAGTGGGAAGTATCGTACGTGAGAAAAACTAACTTTCCCGTGTCTTCCCGCAGTAAACAATAAGCTTTAGAAACGATTCGGTAAAGAGATGTTTGTTCGGTCTGAAGGACCTTAGCTAGAAAATTCCTCAGATTTATGATAGATCCTTAAGACTATCGAGGGTACGCAGTAAAGATGCGCGGACATCTGGTTGCTATCTACGTAACACCTACCGTTTCAGTATATTTGTTTTCTCCGCATTTAGCGTACTTCTATGTATGTGCACGACTTAACTAAACGAGAGTAGATAACTGAAAACTTGTCCAAAGTGATATAAACGGAAGACGGTGTGTTTGAGTAACAGAGATTCGAATGTGTGCATCAGATGACGAGAGAGATTTCGTTGTCACCAAACAACATTAATTAAACAGCATTAATTAAAGATAAACAGAGTGATGCTATAATTTAATGTAACGCGGCAAGTTATTTGCATCGTCCGTTCGTTAAAAAATATCTGAAATATAAATTATATTTTTTATGAAATTCACTGCATTTTAAGTTAAAATTTATGTACATCTTGTCCTTCGAAGTAAAGATATTTCTACTTTGTTCGCGATTCGGCTGTTTATTGATATTAATTGATACTTATTGAAACGTTCGAGCTACTTCGCTGTATTACAAAGAAACCTGATAAAGTTAGGAGAAGAAGTAAGAAAAAAGATGAAACTTTCAGGTAGCTCGTTTTTTGAATAATTTTAATTAAATTCTGAAATGTAAAATGTTACACTCTGCGAAACAAAGACGAACGTACTTTAATTTTTCGAAAGAGTTTGACGAAATTTAACGATGAAGTTACAGAGATTGCCAGTTTCTTTCAAATCTTCGAAGATACGTATAATACCCTAAACAAATATAAATAATATTTGAAACGACGAGAACGACGTTCGTACAAATCACGAGGAATAAAAAGATTCCAATTAAATTGAAAACGTTGATGGAAACTCCTCTCTTCGCAAGACAAATAATTCCGATTTTTGATCAAATAGATTTTCCTCAAAATTCTGTATGTAATCCACTCGGTTGTTCTCGACAATCTTCTCTCGGTTGAAAATGGACTTCTTCGTATGGACCGTAGGCGTAACGACGTATTGGATAGCACGTTCTCGAGGTCCGAAAGAAAATCAGGGATTGATCTCGGCAAACTCTCCGCACGGAGCCTGTTACAAGTTCGAAAAGTATCTTGACTCGCCCTACCTTTCAATAATATAATTCTACCAGCGGCTTGGGAAATATCCAACAAAAAATACAACGACGTGAAATCTTCTGTGAACGACTGGCTGAAATTCGCAACGTAAAATGAGGAGTAATTCGTTGTAATTCGCTGTAATCTTCGTATTCGTGTGACTGAAAAAATTAAACGCGGAGTAACGTTTTAAGAAAAACGTTGTCTTACAAGTTCAAACGCTCGTCGCTCTCCACTTTGTATCAGTTGTATCAGTTAACACGTTGACTGTCACGCGTATTTTCAAAGAAATCTCCGTCAGGCCACGCGTACAGCAGTACCAAACGTTCTCTACTAGATGCTCCCATCGATATTTTAGTAATGCGAATCGCTCAAGCGATGGTCTCAAGAATCATCTTTCGTTTCGTTTGTTCGCAACGTTAAAACCACCGGCTGTTGTTGAATATAACGAAGGAAAGCGTGGTATAGATTATTCCGATCAAATGGTTTCTTATGCCACCACAATTAGAAAAGGAATCAAATGGTACAGAAAACTTGGCATTCGATTCTTTCTGGGAATTTCTGTTGTAAACGCTTTGACGGTTTACAAAATTGCAACAAGAAAAAATATAAATATTAGAATATTTAGACGATTATTAGTTGCAAAATTATTAGGGTTGTCTGAAAATACAAGAAATCCTTGTCTTCGACGGAGTCAGCATAATATCATCGTTCAGAAAAACGATTCCGGAAGAAGCATTAGACGCGCGTGCAAACTACGTTATGCGAATAAAAGACGTCGAATGGACCGAACAAAGGCACGAAAGAATTTGAAGAAAACAACAACTTATTGTCCAAATTGTCCCGACCTATCTCAGCCATGTATAGAATGCTTTAAAGTTTTACATCCTAAATAATTTTTTTAATAAACCATTTTCGTATTTGTTGTATAACAATTTAACTATTATTACAATTAATTATTAATTAACAATTTATTATTATGGAAAATCTTTTCAAATTCCTACGACGATCCTTCGCGAGTAGTCGAATATGCGACAACCGAATATGCGTTACGTGGCCTGACCAGAAACTTTGCTGACACCCGAATACGGATGTCGTGGCAGTCAACGTGTTTAAGGGTTACGAAAACATAAAAAGAATAAAATTACAACTTAATTAAAAAATAACGACACCTTCAAGGGTTGAAACACGCGGCTAAGTTCAACTCTCTAACTTTGTCTTAAACCGCTATGATTTTTCGTCCCGTCAAATGTTCGTATCCGCATCAACGACCGGTCTATGAAGTATATTTTTGTTAAAATCAACGTTAATATTACGTAACGTTCGGTGGTAAGACGCAAAGTTCTCTCGCTCGAAGATGTCATTAAACGTCAAATTTTCGTAAACGAATCACGTTCTGCGGCACACGAGGCTTTCCACGAGTGTATCGCGCGCAAACTTTGTGCAGATATTCTACGGCCAGCGAATTTCATAACCGTGTATCCGTTACACAGCAATGACCGTTTCAGCGCACGCGACGAATGCATTAGAAAGCGCCGGTTTACATGTTCCACAACTTTCACAAAGTTTAATTACTGGTTCTTCATGACGTCGGTAGCCATGCGGACGAAAGCGCAGCCTTTTCGCGCTCCACGTATAACCACCACATTTGAGAAAACCCTCTGTTAATCGCCTAACCGTGTAACCAGAAGCCAGGAATTAAGAATTTCGCGCTTTTCGGTGTGTCAACACGCGATCCACCCGATAATCTCACGTGTTTTATCGTTCGGATGTTGACTCGATCGTTGAACGCTATCGTACACGAACTAATTTCCCTTCTCGTAAACTATCAACGACGACGACACGATGTCTACCTGAGAGACGAGTAACTTTTGCGACGTTCTTTCCATCTCCTTTCATACCACGATACCAAAAATATTCTTTCCTTTGAGAAATGGAAATAATTGTTCGAAGAAGTCGGCGGAAAAGAGTCGAAACTTTGAAACATAGTGGAAAGCAATCGTCGAACGTTTTGCAATGTTGAAACGAAGCGAGACCTAATGACCACGATTGATTACGGAAAACGTAAACTTTATGTCGACGACATAAAATGAACGGATGAAGAAAACAAAACGAAACGTTTCCTATCTACCATTATTTTTATCAACTTCGTACAACTTCGAAAACCGGTAGGATTTCCTCCCTTTTGTATTAAATTTCGCAACTTCTGCTCTATTCACGGAGACGTAATTATATTTCCTGTTTCCCCTCGAACGCGAATCCTAAGAACCGTTCCAAGTTAAATCCACGCGAAAGGTCGAAAGGTTAAGTAGCGAAACGTGGATCAGACCCATGGTCTCTGCGATTTCTTCCATCCTTCTCGCTCTATTCTGTCCTTGGTCAATTTCAATCTTCCATCCTTCTTTGTACTCTCCCTATTGCTTCGATCCACGGTACTCGTCGTTTCAGAATATTACGGCGTTATTAAATAATTAACAAAAAGAAAAAGCTGACTAATACAGACGAGAAACGATTTCTCCGCTACCTTCCTTCCACTCTGCACGCCTCATTTCTTCTGCTGCTCTCGGTTTTCTTCGCTTTAGTACCTTCTTTATTTTTCTCTCTCTCTCTCTCTCTCTCCCTCCCCTTTCCTTTGACTCTTCCTATCTCTGTCTCTTTGCACGTAGACAAATTTCATCAGCTTTGCCACGACACCCTCTCGTCTTATCAAGACCGCTCTCGATTGTTCTGGGATTTCGTGATTTCGGTGCTTTGTCGCGTTTTCAACGAACGTTGCGTCGAGTCGCGAAAGCGATCGCATCTGAATACTCGAAGAAGCGAATCGTAGAATGTCGCCTGTCGCTGGAATCGATTGGTCGATCCGTAGATTTCATCTTCGCCACAAAGGTGTCTCGTTGGTGATCGAAGGAACAGGAAATTCGAAGCGACAGTAAGCGTGAAAAATGTCTCGAAGAGCTTGGCTCGAGTAGACGTTGGAACGGAATTCCATCGGTGACAAAATCTTACGCGTAAAATGTGTTCGATAGAGGCGCTTGATTAATTTCGAATATCGATTCGACGAATGAAATTTAGTATTTTACAACGATAACGCTTACGTTAGCGGGTTCCGTATGCTGGAAATTTGATTTCGCTATATTAAAACGTTGGTAAATTTATCAAAGGAATTTCATTTAAAATAGGATATAGTTGGGCTGTTGTGAAAAATTGCATGAATCGTGAACCGAAGAAAATCAATAAAAAACGATCGAAATTTGATGAAATTTATAATTAGAGGATGGTAGAAGGTATTCAGAAACTACATCGATTAACTTTGTAAACTGAAAAGTACGGAGAACCGATGATGTTACGAACGCTGCTTTTTTTCATTTCTTCTCAGGATTTATATTATTTGTGTCATTTTCTTGTACCGGGCCAACTCGTGGAAGTAAGACATCTGTTTCCTCGAAACTTATTATGAATATTAATCGCGTGCTCGTGTAACGAAATTAAAAAATCGATGAACAGTTGTGTCGATCAGTTTGCCTTCTCATAGGATTACAGTCGCTCTCGTTAATATTTGGACGCTCTTTAAATAACGGAATAACTTTCTTTAAAATTACCATCAAACGAATAAATTGCTTGTCTGTTTGAGAGATTAGAACAACTAGTTTAATGGATAACGTAAAAGAAATTTTGCGAAGAAATAGTACAAATTTCTTTTCACAACCATCTCATCTGACGAATCTGTAATGAAAATTTAAACGATACGTTTCCTATACTTATGTCAATTACAGACAAGTTGAATCTAAATCTCTGTATATTTAAACTAAACGCTGAATTATATTTGAACTATAATCATGTCGAAATAACAGGTTTATAATATCGAATAGTCTCAATCTGACTGTGTTGACAGTTGACAGTTGAAGAAACACGTGGATGTAACGCTATAACACGATGTATCGAAAACTGACACGATTAACAAATTGCGATAGAACTGGCGGGAAATGAACGCGCGGCTTATGCACGAAATTGGTGGCTGTGCCGATAAATTCTTCGCGTTCCAGAAACCACGCAACCTGCGATATTTCACTCAGCTCTGTGAGTAAATATCATCGAACCCGTTCAACGAACAATCTCGAGCGTCCCAAGAATTTTACTTTTCCGTATCCCGGAATATTCTGGCAAATATTCGATCGACAGCAGTCGCGCTTAATGATCCAATCGATCGTTGTTGTTGTTCGCTACGAGAGTGCTTCAATCTCTTTGACACGTAACATTGCTTCACGTATTATTAGGTTACTTATAGAAATGCAGAGACGACATTAACTACAATTTGCGTCGCTGCAACATTCTTCATCGTTGATCAGGAATCGAGTTTAAATCTGAAGCAATTATTACCGAGCAATCGATGATCGTTCGTGGCGACTTATTTAAGGAATACGATGCACTTGTTGATATCAGACGCTTTATCGAAAATGCATTAAATTTCTATGTTGTGCGGAAATCGAGAAACCGATCGTGCTCGATATTAATAATCGCATGTTTGATAAGAAAAAGGAATATAAACACTTTAACGTCGAGAACACGAAAAGATAGATAGAAATTTCTTAACGGAGAGCTTCGACGATACAACAGGCTTCTGAAAACCGTACGAGTTAATTTGCTCGGATTGATCAATCGTTTTATGAAAAAGTCTTCCGAGCATCGTAAATCAAAAGCGGTATATTTTAATAACGTTTTAATAAAGCGTTCTCGTGATTTACGCGCCAGCAAATAGTGTTGTTAGCAAACGACGGTGCAGCTGATAAATCAACGATCGCGCAATGATTCATGGAATGAGAGTGCAATTTACTTGAACGGTGTGCTCACATTTTTCGCGCTTTTCCCTATACGAACCTGACGCGTCCGTAAAAATCCTATTACAGCGCCGCCATGCAAGACAGATGTCTGCAGCTTACCGGAAAATCTTGGCGAAATTGTACCTTCACAGGAATTAGAATCGCCGTGTTATTTTACTTCCATTTTGTAGCACGACGGGACGCGATCTTCCTTTCGTTAGGAAGATATTAGGTCATCCGAAAAGTTTCTTGCCTTTTAGAAGGTAACAATGGATGCACAACATTTTCCGTTTTATATCATTTCATCGAATTACCTATGATCCATTTTGTTCCATCATAAAGAGATAAAGATCACAACGTTCGATAGATTAGGTTTCACGTTTGTGTAAAGATGCATAGTTGTAAAAGACGTGTCTGTAAAAGAAAAACACTTTCCGGACAACCTGATATAATACGGCCAACTTTCTACATTTATGGTGAACTATAATAAATAATATAAAACTATGGGAAATATATCACGCGTGCACGTATGGTCTGCCTCCTCCTTCGTTTGAAAAAAATGAACGCGTTTCGGGTTGCGGAATACGTGATAAGCACTTTGTCTATGTAAATATATCGTTTGAATTAAATTAAATTGCTCCTTCTAACGACGATTACTAATGATCTTTCGTAACATATAAATCAACGCGTTGATGTTGTATGCGAATAAGAAAAAATATTCAAAGCGAAAGAGGAGAGTAATTGGTTGAAATTGTCTCAATTTGTCGGATTTACGGGTGTATTAACGAAGGAAGATGAAGATGAAGATTTAACGACATTGGCAGAAACTCATTAAATATTCATGGTTTGTTGCAGAGGAAACAATTGCTAATCTGCCACCCCTTCGAATTCCTCGATTGAGGCATCATCGAGTGACAGATTGGGGCCCGTACTTCGAAAATGCAGAAGGCCAGGGAATCAATGGATCGCAGAACGTAGCGTTGCATCTTGGCGCGACTGCTCTTCTCGATTGTCGCGTGGCGATGCTCTCTGGCAAAAAGGTATTCGTTCGTAAATTTCCATATCGAAGGAACAGAGCAGGAACAATCACGAATCTGTACGATTTTCATCGAAACGCTTACAGATTACTGATCACCGCTTGCGAAACAAGTATTCTAAAACACCGATGATGAAATAGAAAGATATACATCGTGATAAAACAAAGATGAGAAAAATTAACGAACGAACGAAAAGATCCTAACTCCACGATTTCGTGTTCCATCGAGATTAGATTTTATCGTTGCGTGTTAAGAGAAATTAGTCGAGAAATGGCTGCGTTACGATCAAAACTAATTCGATTAAAAAAAAATGAATCGCACGTGGAAATAATTTGTAGCAGAAAAGCGTTAAACACGCTAGTTACAACTAGTTAGAAAGTAACAAATACTGCAAATTAGAGAAACTGCTTAACGCGTTGACCAGTCAAAGCTGATAGAAATCGCTTAAAACGACTGTTGCAGAATCTTGTAAATACGTAACACACAGCCTGCCACGCAATCGGTGTTTTACGATGTAACTTGATTTAAACCCTCGTGCTTTAACCAAACAACTTCTCACGCAGAGTCACATGCAACTGTAGAATGTGTGTCGCAATTATAGGTCATATGGTTACGCCGCAACGCCGACTGGGCATCCCTTTTAACTCTGGGTAATACCACTCACATTTCCGATCCCAGGTACAGCGTTAGCTTCCAATATCCAAACAACTGGAGGCTGGCAATCGCCGGGGTACGCAGGGAGGATCGTGGATTGTACGTCTGTCAAGTGAACACGCATCCTCCGAGAATGCTCGTCACTAACGTCACTGTTCTCGGTAACGCTTTCTCTCTATTAGTTACAAAATATATAGATAGTCAACCGTAATACCATCACCAATATTTATCCAAGCAAATTAAACTTGACGCGATAAGACAATATAGAGAAACGTTTTAGTGCAACTGTCGCGAAATATCCAGTGCTTTTGGCGAACGAATTTTCATATTAATTACGATCGATGATCTCCGACGATCCAAGGTTGATAGATTTTTGATTTTATTCTGCGAATTTGACGTGTTCGCAAATAAATAACACAGGCCACCGACAGGCAAATAAACAGCGTAGCACGCGTAAATTTTCTAGAAGCCAAGATCTCGAGAATGCCAAGATTGCTGGAAATTTAGCAAGATTGGACGACTAGCAGATACTGCGAATCTTTCGAGGTTCTTGAATTCTTGAAATTCTTGGGTCAACGATGTTGGTAATAAGCTTTCAAACCTTCGGATTAGCCGACTGGATTCTCAGACCCTTGGATTTCTTTCCAACTTTTAGAAATCTGTTCGAATGTTCGGTGAATACAATTTGAATGAATGACTCCCATGATGACGTATCATCCCACGTGCTACGAATATAACGTCGCGTAACATTTAGTGGGATTAATTCGATACAGTTAAGCTTTCCGCAAATTGCTGTCAAATTGCTCAACTTTCCAACAAATAAATCGTGTTGTGCTTGTCTATAGGTATTAGTCATACAAGTTTCGATCCACTTTTATCATATCCCATGTGTTCTGAGGCAAATATCTAAAGTTTCACCATTAAGTGTAATGCCTTGAGCTCTTTTATGAGATAACTTAACAACATGTCGAATACCAAAGTTTCATTGTATCGATTACCCAAGTTTCTGCATAACACGGTAGTCGTCATTTTTCATATTGCATACATTATTATTGTCATTAGAAATAATGCACGATCTATATATATCTCGAAGATGAAAGGACATCGGGGCCTCCCTTTTGGAATTCCTGTTGGAGAAAACCCCAATACTCTAGTCCAGACTTTTACTATAGTTACATTTAAGTAATAAAACTAAGAAATAGTTGTAATGTTCTAATCTGATTGTGGATGCTCAAGGTTTGTGACGATGGGCTTGGGCCCGAAGTGACATAACGGCTCACTGAACGTAGCCACGGTCACGAGAAGCACGTGTACCTAACAGAGGTATGGAATAATTATATAGCTCTCCTTAAAAACAAAGATCGACCCGAGAGGTGGGGAGAGGACTATATAAGGGCAGTTTCACTTGGACTGCGGGGGAATCTATTCAGAGCAGTACTATTTGCACGTTGAGTGACACCAGGATCGTGTATCACATCGCATTCGTCGTCCCATTGGCCGCGGATTCGTTATCGAACCTGAATTCATTGTCATCGACATCTCGACCTTTAGCCTCTTGTAATAATCACATTTGTACCAATACGTATCAGCTATAACCACGATGGCAAATTCGAACGAAGGTTCGTCAAACGCCCAAAATTCCAACATTAACCCGACATATATATGTCGGATTCACATTATGATTAGGGTTAGGGGCGTGAAACGAATCTTCATTTGGATCAGACATTATTGTTATGCAATAGAGGAGATATTTACTAGTGCAAATATGATTATTACGGAATTTGACAAGTAACCGTGGTAATTAGACACTCGAGAAGCTAATGACAATGATCCTAGGTTCAATAAGGACTTTCCCAAAATTTCGAAGGGAAGGATCCGGTATCCTTTCATCTCCGACATATATATATACGTATATTCCAAACTTCTCAAGGTGTAAATATTTTCTAGATCGATAAAAAATAAATTGACGACATTATTAATACCGTGTTATTGATTAACCGGATAATAAACATGCGGGATATCTCTGTGCCAAGTATATTCCATAAATATCGCGTCAAGCTATCAATCACAATTTATAATCGCTCAAACTGATGGCAGCCACTCTAAATAATTATACGTATAGCGTTTGCAAGAGGAGTATTAAAATATTATAATGGTCTGTGATGCGTCTCATCTAAAAGTAATTGAAGCATCGTGTTTACAAATTCGCTCATCCATCTATGTCTTTGGCGTTTAATAAGCACAGGTCCTTGCAATATTGCTCCTTTTTCTTACCAATAGCGTAACAAATAACGTTTGCCAACCTCTCTGAATTAAAAGGATATTAACGACGAGAAGTTTAATCAAAGTTCTTTGATTTACTAAGACCGGGACAGCAGGAGAAACCAAATGTTTCTCTGTTTATATCATTGATCACAAACCCCGTGGTATAATTATTTGTCAGGAAGTTTGCAGAAAGTAGCTCTGTCTAATGAATGAGTTGTTATTGAACTTCATGCACTTTCGTATACCAGTCTCGAGAGTAAATAGGAAACTAACAAGGTTCCAAGTGCAGCTAGCTTGTTAGTTAATTAGAATGACTTTTCGAGAAGTTGCTATCTATTTCGTAAGAGGCAGACAAACGCGTAACATTACCGCCCAAAATGATATGCGCGCTTACTTACTTTTGACGGAATACGAATCAGTTAGAAAATTACAAACAAATAGGGAAGAGACACTTTGTCTCTCGTTCGAATTATCGTAGAATATCGTTATCGTTATCGTGCAATGAAAAGATCGCCATTGATAAACGTCAGGCAGCTGCGGTATTTTATTTAAGGAGATCGTTACACTCGGCTCGTATGGTCGTCAAACTGTAGACAAGACACGTTTCAAAGTGATCGAGAGACTATCGCGACTGATTTCAACGATAATATCGTCTACAATCGTTTGACACTTGGACGAATTTTAAATATATTTCATTTCAGAGAAACAATTTAAATTTCACGCGATATACAGCTGCTAATTTCGGAAGAAGATACTCATCGCGAGATACTCGTTGTTTTTGATCGTTCATCTGCCATTAATCCATATGTTACCAGTAATAATCACACATTGTTAATAAAAATCGAGGAAAATGTCAGAATCAAAAAATTTACCAGAGCGTTCGTTCTTTCTTTCGATTCGTTTGCTCGTAAAAATTTTGCTCGTGAAGATTCGCTTTCGAAATTTATACGAAATTCGCGAATAAAATTGAATTTTTAATTCACTTGCGCGCAAGCCAGCTACTTAAACATTATTTATCAACTATTCCTTTTGAAAACTCTGCTTCGTTTCCACGTCGTTGCATTTACCAGTGCATTCTGCGCGTTCTTGCAATTTTACATTTCCTACGAATTGCGTAAACGTCCGGGGTCTGTTTGTTAGAAATTTTAGAAATCTACGAAAACGGCTGTTGAAGTTTCAAACGTTGAACGGCGAGAAAGAGGAAATGAATTGTTTCACAGCGAGACGAGACAGCAGCCACGCGGTGAAAAATGCTTAATTATGCAGGCCGCGTGTAAATCCCGGTTGCAGCGAGGAAATTTGCTATCGAGAGATCGGTATCGCGTAGCTAATCAAGTTGGCGCGCACGCGGAGGCAGTTTCAAACGACAGTTGTACCGAAAGTTTAACGCGATGGCAGGATCAGGTTTTCGCCAAGGCTGCGCCTCGAGCGTCTCCCAAAAGTACAAAAGTGGAACACGCCAAGGGGCGCGCGCGTTGATTTTATAGCGCGGCGGGACGTATTTATACAAGAATTTGCAATTCCCCGGCTGTGAATTAGATTGCGCACTTCCCTTATTCTCCCTTTGTTTCGGCGACATAATCGGCCAAGAAACTCAACGAAATCGCTGCTTTCGACTCGTTTTGTCTGATTGTTTCTCAGATTGAAGGTGCTCGATGGGTCGTAATTCACAAACCCACCTCGCCTAGCGTCTACAAATCACATTTTTCTAATGATATTCTTTATCCCCC